TGGAACGGACCCTTTTTTCTAGCACCTAGACTCAGAAGACTTAAAGTGGCTTTCCCTTAAGGCTTCCATCCTGCTGGCACTGGTCACTGCCCAACTTGTTGGGGAGCTTCAGGCTCTCTCTGGCAGGAACTTGCAGAGGTCCTCGTGATGGTGGTCTGCAGCTGAATCCGGCATTTCTCCCCAAGGTACTTTCAAACTCTCTGACAAGTCATTGGGTTGAGTTCAGGTCTCTCTACTCCATGCAGAGAGAATAAGGAGCACAGACGCTTACCGGTATGTCCGGTACACTATGTATGTACCGGATATGTATATGAGTATGTGCAGCGGAAAGGAACTCACAGGAGAACAGATCATTGGTCCGTTTCAAGCCGGAGCTTTTTGGTCAACCATTGTCAAAAGCCTGTCTTTCCCATTGGATTGTAGATGCTATCCAGCAGGCATACAGTATGTGGGCAGTACTTGTGGCTCGGGAGCGCGGGTGCTACCCTGAGGCATGGCGGCATCCGGGGGGTTGTTACATGATGCATCTCCGAGTGAGATCTGCATCGCTCCTTCTTGGTCTGTCACTTCTACATTGCTCGGTTCTACCAGATTATTTGTAGCTGCATGCACGTCCGTCAGAGGACTGGTGCTCGGTGTAGCCAAACTGTAGTGACTTTTTTTTCCTTATTTGTCTGTCAGCCTGGTGTGGCTGGGCTAAGTGACTTCCCCTCCCCCCTTTGGCTAGCCTTAGCGCCTTGCAGGGCAGGCAGGCCTTGTTAGAGTCGGGCGCCTTGGCTTCAGGCAGGAGTAACTTGCAGCCAGAGGTACTTGCTGGCCTGGGGATGTGTTTATATAGTACATAGTTTCATTGACATCCACGCTGGTGATTCTTTTTGAATGCATGCTTTTGTGTGATTTTTTTCAAATCTTATTGAGTGTATTTGTCTTCTCTGACAAAAATGTCTCATTACACCGAATTCACCTGACATGTCCAGAAATACATCTCACTTTAAGTTATTACAAACGAGACTTTCTTACGTTTCTTCACGAGATCAAAATCTTGTGTCAGGAAGAGAACATTTTTTGTTTGCTGCACTTTTTACTCCTAACAAACAAGTTGAGGCTTTTTGTTTTCTTTTTATGAAATGAACTAAAATGTGTCTCATGACTTTGGCTAAATTTGGCTTTTATTTGGTATAATGAGATATTTCTGACTAAAAATAAGGCAGATCCACTTGATGAAATTGTCCAGTGACATCAAGCAGTTTTTAGAGAACCTGTCACATGTGATGTTCGACCAGTGATTGTGTTTAATTCCTGTACTTTTCACATATCTGTAAATATTTTATTTTGACATGCATTTTGTGCACACAGAGGTGAACGGGCGTCCCTCGCTGTAATTTCCGATCTTGCAAACTACCTCAGAATTGCGCGATGTGCTTTGAGTTGGGACAGACTGTTTCTGAGTATGGAGGCTTTTGTCAGTTAAAGTGAAAGGCAGCATGTTGGGAAACGCTGCAGCGGACATGCTGAAAATGAGCCATATCTATTTAAAGTCCTTGAAGTGTGACTCTGAGCAGCCAGGTTAAACGCTTGTGACCCTTTAAGTGGTTTAACACTGTGTTTATTTACAGCGTCGCTTCATGCTGTCAGAGTTTCAGAGAACACAAATAGAGTTACTTTTCTAACTTAACTTTATATTTTGCACAAACATGTTTGAAATGATCGACATCCCTTATTTTCACACGTTATATCTCATGTTTAGTGTTTTGTGTAAATCTATGAATACCAATAAATCACATCAGAAAGTCAGATGATTGTTAGAAATTGATCCATGATTTAAGTGCTGAGAAAATATAAAAAACTGAAGCACCTTTCAGACTGCTGTATTCCCAAGAGTGCGGTAGCTAATCTCATCCGTCACCACACACTCAGTCAGACATGCACACACATTCTCGCAGCTGTTACCCTGTTCATGTAGTAACCACTGAGCTGTGAAGATGTTTATTAATGCACTGATATGTTTTACTTATTTTACAGCTCTGTAACATTTCTGATCCCAGCTTTGTGATGACCAAATCTATTTCTGTATGAATTTGTTTGTGACTTCTGTTCCTCTTGTATATACAGTAAATGCAAATTTGTTTCCTCCTTCGTTTCAATGTCACAGTCTATGAGTTTAGAATCAGCAGACCTGCTCACACACCGACACTACACAACCAGACGGAGGCTTTCATGTCACAGTGACAGCCCCCCCACCCCCACCCCAGCTCACTCTGACTTTCTGCAGAATAAACACGAGGAGGCTGGAGGAGAAACTCCGGCGGAAGAGAGAAACATTCAGATGTTTGAGTGATCACGTGACGCTCAGTGTGATAAACTTCAGGAAGTTTCTGCAGGTGTGAAAGCTCTATTTGAGGTTCAGAAGGCCGTTTTGTCGGGTATAAACATTTCTCACAACTCATATTTCCAGAACATGACGTGCTATAATGACACATTGGTTTGACACATAGCCAGGAGGAAGTTACTCCACATGACGAGAAATATTCATCATCATGCTCCTCTCGTTTTACTTCCTCATTCAATCATGAATACACCTGGAATAACCGAGCTGACAGAATCCTGTAGGCGAGTTGTTTGCCGTTTGTTGTCAGTGAACTTGCAGAACCTTCGACACAGAAACCTGACAACCCGTCTTGGGGGGTATTTAAAGAAAAGGATGTGAAAACGCACAAAAGCAGAAGCACGATGAGATAAACATCTGCAGCCGCTGTGAATCACACGTTCAAATAAAAACACACACAAGCAATAAGATATAAAGTAAAACTTTATCATGACATACAAGTTTAAAGCCCTGAGAACCATATCTTTATATTACTAATATGAACAAAAACTGAATGTGTGAAAACCACTTTGGAAAAGTGCTCCTCTTAAATACAATCAGCACAAACCAGTTCTTACAAGCATTCAGGTGTTTTGTCCTATTTTTTTTTTTTGTTTGCTTTAATCAAAGAGAAAACTATAATATCAGTAATATCATTATTATCATGTCCATAATAATAATAACAGTACAAAAATATGCACAAACCCCACAGTTGAATTAATATACGGAGCATTGTACAAGCCAAAAACAACAACATTAAATTGATAAATGAGGTATTCCATAACCACTTGCATATGCGCCTGTTTTCACACAGATCAGGTTTCTTTACTTTCAAACTGAATTAACTCCAAAAGGTTCTGCAGACTTCCAGCTTCACAGCTTCCTGAGTGACGAGACCTCGCCTGCAGTTACTGACGACTCGAAGAAGAAAAAAAAAAAAAAAAACACACACACACACAACACCAGAACCAAAGAAGCGTTCAGGCCAAAGTGACCGCAGCTTCGCTCAGTGCTCGTCCCTCAATGCAGCTTCAACATCCAACATCGCAACAGTGACTGCAGCCCACTGCCCTGAGGTATTGTGGTATGACGAGGTAGGGGCGGTCTCTAACACACACACACACACACACACACACACACACACACACACACACACACACACACACACACACACACACACACACACACACACACACACACACACACACACACACACACACACACACACACACACACACACACACACACACACACACACAGAGAGAGCAGGTCAGGCGGCTGAAAAGAGGAGGTCAGCGAGGGGAGCAGGTTTGAAGAAAGAAAAAGGTGATTCATCAACCTGTAACACTTTCGATTTGTTCCCTCTGAACAAACGAGTGAGCAGAGCGCTCGTTTAACAGCAGAGGATGGCGGTGGGTTCACTGGTTTATTCCCAGTGAGCACACCGGAGCGAGAACATTCCCAGTTAAGAGAAAAAAAGGTGAGAACTAAATCTTTTCCCTTCAGCTCCTCTCCTGCACTAGACTGGATGTTTGGCGCCACCTGCAGTATTTTCTTGGTAATTCAGGTACTGTAGGTGAGTGACACACACACACACACACACACACACACACACACACACACACACACACACACACACACACACACACACACACACACACACACACACACACACACACACACACACACACACACACACACACACACACACACAAAGGCAGTGACGCTACACTATCAAACGGTCATTGCTCAGACTAAGCAGATGAAAACAGAAAGCTTGGACTTGTTGTTTCTTTGAACGAGGTCCACCAGGAAGAAACACAAAGAAACAAATAAATAGCAAAACTCAGCTTGAAAAAACAAACCGATGTCTAACGTCCGATTGAATCGCCGACCCAGAGAAACGTGATTACTCTCCGAAAGGGTTCAGCTTGAAGACTTTGTATCGGGACTGGTGCAGCAGTGAAACCTGCACCGGTCACATCTCACCAGCAACTACTTTAAGGCAGCATCTAAGAGTTCTTTAGAAAATACAGTCATGTGTCACACGGGTGGGGGGGGGCGTGAAGGGTTCACCTGGAGAACTTAACCCTTAACTGTGATCTACACTGCAAAAACGTGACGGCTAAAATAGGGTTCTAATAAAAGCGTCAAGGCGTCCCGGCGGGAGAGCGCTGGGCATAACGAGGGCTCTAAACGGTTAAGAAAAGCCTCACAGTCAAAACACATAAAGCTAGAAAAGACTTTTTTTGTTTTAAACCTCTGTGGTGTTTCAAAAGGCTAAAAAGTTACTTTAAAGGGAAAAGGAGACGTTTGAGTGTCTGGATTATCAGGAAGTGTCTTTTAGAAGTTTAGGGGCGCCGTCTGTCCCTGATGTGTAAGAAGGCCTGCAGCCACACCAGTATGTTGCATTTAAAAACCAGTTCAAACTGGAGAGAGAGAGCTCAGGACAGACCACACATCCGGGCGACCAAATGTCTCCGTCTGGACGTGCTGATGGCGTCCTGATCGTCAACTTGTCAATGACTCGGTCATGCTTTCAAATCTGGAAGAAGGGAATTTACCTCATCTAAAGATATCACTTGTTTTAGGAAACAACTCAAAAAAATTATATTAAATGACATTAGATGCTTTCTTTTTTTTTTTTTTTTTTTGCAGTCTCTTAACGGACTGCGTTGCTGTGCAGCACAGCGGCGTTCAGGCAGGATTGTACGAGGGATCAATCGAGAGGAGCGACCTGGCCAGTCTTTGGTTTCTAGCTGTGCAAGAACCAGCAGATTGTGGGTGTTAAAAACACTGGTCACATGATTGTACACATGCAAATCATTTCGCCCGCTGTCATTGAACGAAGACGCGTTCGCTGCAATCTGCAGTCGAACCTGAGGTTAACGTGGTCGTTTGTTTGTTTTAACTCTTTTTTGACTCCTGCGACTCGAAAAAACCTGTCAACAATCCCCACAAAATCTACACGTGTCAAGCGAGGAAGAGACTTCGCTTTTTCCTTGTCCCTGAAAAAAATGCAGATATATATAAATCACTCTTTTCAGACAACAACTGGAGGAACCAAAAATAAAAAGTAAAAAGAAAACGATTGCAAGCATAAAACATGTTCTACAAGTAAATATGGGAGGAGAGCGAGAGAGAGAGAGAGAGAGAGAGAGAGAGCGAGAGAGATAGAGAGAGAGAGAGAGACAGAGAGAGAGAGAGCGAGAGAGATAGAGAGAGCGAGAGAGAGAGAGTTCTGTTCATCCCCAGAAAAAACGCCAGCGCTGCAGCGTCGGTACGTTCATGTTCAGTTCCAGTTCAGGGAGGAGTTCCACCGCGGGTCGGGGGCGGTCGAGGAGTCTGGATGGCGTTGCAGCCGTTATGAGGTATGTAGTGTCGCTCTCCCTTCAGAGAGGCGCATGAGGTACTCTTCAACAGTCGTGTGGACTCGTGCATTCTTCCTTTGTGTGAACAGTGATTCTGTGCAGCTGTCTCATTGTTTTCCTGAGAAAGAGAGCGACGCCCCCCCTGAAGCAGAGAGGCCAGTATGAGGTCTGAGAGCTGCACTCGGTCTCTGCACCGCCTCCATCTTTGTGCGCTACATGTGTGTGCGGACCAGCAATAAGTTAAACTTCATCCCGTCCATCGCTGGAGAGTTTGAAATGTCGTCCATGTCAGGAGGTCGTTAACCCTCCTATCACCACCAAGGACGCAGAGCTGAGGTCGTGGTTCTGAAATCAGCTGTTTGTTTATGATGTGCTGATCCACAGCATCAGTACGAGGAGGAGGGCGCTCTGTACATGAGGTTCCACTGGTGAGAGTTACCCGACTTTCCCCTGATTGCAACTCGGTCAAAAAAGAATACAAAAATAAAGTTGATTCAGGTTAAATATACGACAGCTCCTGAGGTAAAGACACCACTGCAGGTTACTTGATTTGAGGTATGTAAAAAGAGAAAAAAACAAAACTAAAAAATAAAATCATTCTAAAACACAAAATCAAAAAAAAAAAAAACAAGACAACAAAATGGCAACAAACAAACAAACAAAATGTCCTAAGATAAAACTTTTCAAGTTCAGTTGTGACTACACCTGTCAGTGGGTTTTGGCTGAGCTGATTGTGTTTAGCATGTTCATAATGATTACAATAAGTGTGTGTGTGTGTGTGTGTGTGTGTGTGTGTGTGTGTGTGTGTGTGTGTGTGTGTGTGTGTGTGACACTGTGTGTGTTTGTAGTGTAGTGTAGTGTGTGTGTGTGTGTGTGTGTTGAGTATAAATGCATAGCTGTGCGTTTGGGCACGTGTCGTCGTGTAATATTCTCGGGCTCTGTGTTCATGATTGGACAGCCAAGAGGTCGACAGGGTTGATGAGGTATTTGTTGTGCAACAGTTTGTTTTTCTTATCGGTTTCTCATTGTACTGGATTTTTTTCATGCCGGGCCCCCCGGTGGGAAGAGAGGCCCCCGAGGAGCAGGTACAAAGGGGCCCGCCTGAGTTAGGGGGACCCGCTGGGGGCCGTCTCAGCCGAGCTGGGACCCTTAGAGGAGGCGGAGGACGAGGGGCTGAGGTTCTGAGCATGGGCTGCAGAGAAGCCAAAGCTAGTGCTGGTTCCAGCAGGGGGGGCTGAGGCGGCAGCAGCCGACACAGCGGGCCCCGGGGCCCCTCCGGACTTCTGAGCAAACAGGGTTCCTGCAGGACAACGGGAGACGTCGTTAACAGAGGACAACCATACAGATCACATGACAACTTAGCCGATGTTCCTGTTTCAGGCTCTCACACAGTTCATTCTAAATATGACGCCACATTCAGATGTTTACGAGGTCGGCCAGAATTTTTGTAAGTATGAAACGTGAGCACGCTGGTCGATCATACTAAACTGCCCGTTAACGCTGGCTTGATGTCAGCTCATCGAACAGAGCTCGGACAAGAGGTTAAATCCTGACCCATATTCCAGTATGTTGCTAACGGCGTGCTAACGGATTTGCATACAGTGTATATATTTAGAGTAAGTAGTCTGTGGTTTTTTTATTCCAGGTTTGACCATGAGGACTTCTACCCAATGAATAACCTCGTCTCTGAATGCAGCGTGCGCGCTCCACGTTGCTGATTGGCTGATGTCTGTGAACTGGGCTGATACCGATTCTTACACCGGGTTCATCCTTCATGTGGCGCTATGCAGACGATAAGGAAACACGCTGAGGTACGACAACCTCCTAAACAAAGCAACTAAAAGATTGTTAAATGATAAAAGGTTTTGTTTGACCCGCCCTGGACGCACCAGACACACACACACACACACACACACACACACACACACACACAGACACAAGGCACCCGCCCCCCCCGGCCCGCCCCGCCCCCGGCCCGCCCCCAGCCCGCCCTGTTACAAACCTGAGTAGATTGTTCCATTGACCTCCACGGAGACGGTGATGCTGGCGTTCCCGTTGGTGGAGATGCTCAGAGACATGTCCTGCTGCTTCTCCTCTGCACCAACACAAAGAGGAGATTCAGGATGAATCATCATGAGACACGTTCAACATCAAACCTTTAAACATCAAGATACGCTTAAAAACCAACCGATGATTCGGCTCGGGTATCGAGGAAAACGCTTCTCGGTTCCTGACAGCAACATTCATCTCTCAGGATTAAACCTCAGAGTCCATAAACGTACTTGGCTGCTTTTACACCGCAGGTCACACCTTCACATTCACACCGTGATGGCAGAGGCTGTAACGAGTCCATCAGTACGAACTCATCACATTTATACGCTGCAGCGGGTACAACTTGGGGTTAAGTGTCCTGCTTCAGGCTGGGGATCAAACCCCCGACCCTCCACATGAGAGAAACGACCGACTCTACCACTGAGCCACAGCCGCTGTAGCAGGATCTCGTCGCCCTCAGCTGAGCTCACATTAACATGTATTTTAAGTTAAAAGAAACATTTCTACAAATATTTAAAATCTATATTTTTACTTATATGAGGAGCACCCTGCCCCTGCGTCATTTGAGGAGGAGACCCTGTAGAGCAGAAACTCTGTTCACTTTAGAGATGAAGTTTTAGAGTAACAAGGCTAGATAAGAAATGTTTTTTTAATGCTGTGCCTTCGTGTTTTTACCTATTTTGGGTACTTTGAGCTATTTATGACCTGATGGGAGTGTTAGTGTGAATGTTTCTATGTTTTCATGTTACTGAGCCTCAACAAAAAGTAATTTTCTGTCACAATGTGATAGACAATAAAGTTTTTTTTAAATCTTGATTCTTGAATGAATGAGGAGAGAGGAGGAGGAGTGTCACTTAGAGGAGACGCGACCCGTGTGCAGGAGGCAGCAGCGTTAAGTTATGCACAATGCATCATGGGTATCTTGTTATTCATTAATATCCAAAGATTTCAGCCTCCTTTGATGTTTCAGTGTCATCACAGTCCCTCAGAAACAGGTCAACTAGGGGCGGCTGTGAATGTTGGGGGTTCAATCCCCAGCTCCGATGTGTACTTGGGCACTTAAACCCAAGTAGCTGTTGGGGTTCTGTGCCTTGCTAAAGGGCACCTCTCCAGCCACCAGACCGACTTCCATTCTTTGGTCTGCATCGAGTCTTGAACTGGCGACCCGCCTGGTTCCCAACCCAAGCCCCTACAGACTGAGATGATGATTGTTTATTTGACATGTTATGATGTAGAGCAGGGGGGTCGATTGTTTCCATCGTTCATATTTGTTTTGATCCATCTCACGGCTGCTGACACTTTATTTTATTATTACATTTTAAATTGTGTTTTTGGTTTTGAATTAAAACGCTGTAAAGGATGTTTTGGTTCCTTTAACTGAAAATGTTTCAGATGTACAAACACGTCTCGCAGACAGGATGTTGGATCATCCGGTTCATGAAGCAAAACCCTTTAAAAGAACATCTTTCCCCACGCTGCTGTTCCTCTTTTTAAACTGTGGAGACATCATAATGGACAGCGTCGGCAGCACTGACCTCTGGTGGTGATGGCGGGGGCTCCCAGGCGCAGGTTCATGGGCATTTGGGAGGCCATAGCCAGCAGGTTGTGTTGGAAGGCCTGCTGCATCAGACGCTGCTGCTCCTCAGCCAGGCGGGCCATCTTCCTCTCCGGACCCTCCCCTCCTCCGGTCTCCAGCTTCTCTCTCAGCTGCTCCAGGGTGGCGGCTCGGGCCAAACCAGCTACCTGCTGCTGACCCAGGGCCAGCGCCATGGAGGGTCTGGCTGCCATGATGTTGGGGGTCAGGTCATCTGGAAGAGAGATGGATGAATGTTACTGGTGGTAAACAGCTGATCGTGTGTGTGTGTGTGTGTGTGTGTGTGTGTGTGTGTGTGGTGTGTGTGTGTGTGTGTGTGTGTGTGTGTGTGTTGTGTGTGTGTGTGTGTGTGTGTTCGGCTGCAGGAAGCACTCATCCTCTCTGATGACCATATATGGTGTTCAAAATGAAACCATAGATTACTAAACATTACAACTCTGATCTGATCACTCTCTGACATTAAGAATGAAAATAAGCCACAACATAAATCACATGATCGTGCATCGTCCAATAGAAAGCCACAGAGAGAGGATC